TTAGTAGAGAACTGAGAATCTATTGTTTCAAGCTTCTTGATGGATCATGATCTAATTGTATTTGCTGGAGAACAATTTGCATATGAGCCATCCCAATCAAAATGTACTCAGAGCAGAATGCATCTATAAAAATAAAAAATGAATCAAATCTCATTTGCCATGATCATGCTAACAACACTGTTATTTGTTATATTACATTAACCCATTTGGTGAATCCAGGTAGAGTTATATCTGACCATGCAGTAAATTCATGATCTAAAAAGTGAGAGACAGACTGAATATGGTAAAATTCTTGAGGTTAGAGAGTCCGTTAAAGAGATGCGTATGTTGGGGCCTAAGTTGGTAATGAGACTTATATACTTATACCTATGGGAAATTTTTTTTGCTGATAGAGATTGGAAGGGTGACGGGAAAGACTCACCATATAGTGCACAAAGCGTTTAGCGACAGTCTGACATTAGACACACAGGTGAATGGAGGATGGTGCCAAGTTCATTTTTTTTTTTTTTTATTAGATTTTCAATCTTGATTCTTCTTTTCCTCCTCTGCGATTGTGCTATGTGATGCGCCAATTGATGGGCTTTCTAAAAAAAGTCCAAGGCTACACCTTACTCAATAAGACAAAAACTAGTATGTAAGACTAAATGCACATAAGGTTTTAGTAGTGGTGAGCTTACGCTTGGATTCCATTATGTGATGGCCTCCAGATGGCTTGGGAAGTAGAGTGCTAGGGGCCTTCATAGAAAAGACGACTACTGTCTTACATGCTTAGGGATACGCTATAACTTGTTATTGGCAGCAGGGAGTACTCGGAAGGGGCGTAGCTGAGGATATGTGTAAGGAGTAGGTGCCAGGCCATCTATTCCTTTAACGTAATTTGATACAGTCATTGAGGTCAGAGAGTGACATATATGAGAGACGCTTGGATAACTTCCAGAAATAGCGGAGATTGGGAGCAGAAGGAGTGCGTTGTGAATCTCGTACTTATTAGAAAAAGAGATAAGCCCTGTTAACCATCTGCACATACGGCGCGAGGAGGGGGCAAGGGGTTCGTTTGGCTCCATCAATCCGCGCATGGAGCTTGCGATCAGTGAACTGTCTTGTGGATGTGTGCCTGTTGTATTATTTCAAGTACTCATCTATTCTTTTTGCGTTCCTTTCTCAGTCAATTGTTTTTCTTTGTATGTTAGTCTTATCTCCTCCCCTATCAGATGTTAGATGGCTGCTTTCCAAATTGCCTTAAGTCTTGCCATACGTTCCTTTCGGGACCATGGCAGTGCAGCAAGAACCTGGATCCAATTGTTTAAATCATCCTATCTATGTAGTTGCAACCACTGGTTCACAGCTCCTTATGTATCAGTGTATAGTGCAGTCTTTCTAATTGGTCCCTACGCGTAGCGCTGAATTTTGAAATTTTACAGTTGTCTCATCATCAATAGCCTCTACTATATCCCGTCGGCTTACATACTACTCAGCTATCTTGTACTACTACTACTCCTAATCTTAAACCATGTTTCCTAACTCCAGTCCCACTTTCCACACTCCTCTGCGGGGCTATCATCTACTGGCTTACCTCTCTAATGAGTTACTCTACTCAACATCATTACTACATACCCTTCATCCTACTACTCTACTTACTGTTACTTAGCCTATGCTATGCCTTATCTCATCCCACCAGTAATCCTACCTCACCTTCTTCTACTAGCTATCACTTACTACTCAGTAATTTCCTCTCCTCCTCTCTGACTTCTTCTTCTTCTCCCCGTCTAACCAATCATATTAACTTATTCGTCAACATATCAGAGAAATTCTCATCATAATCTGTCATATTTCTACATCAAATACTGCGACAACACTGAGCCGTCCCCTTCCCAATCATAACCCTCAGATTTGGTTCCAGCATTTCTTGAACATGCCTTCCTTCAGTGAACCTTTCTACTCGAACCATAGGGTTGCACTTCTGCACCATCCTCGGCATCTATTCTCTTTGCGACTCACACTCTGAACTCAAGATCCACAGAAAAAAATGTGTATATATTCTCCCATATTCATACTCCCTCTCCTCTCCTCAGTCCCACTACTACCATTAAACTACATACACTTTCTCACCACACTACAACCACAGCCCACCACCTCCTCACACACACACCCACACACATCATCACTAACACAGCACACACACTACATTTCTCAGATATACTATATCATATATATATTATACTCTATATACTCCTACTAATATAATTATATATCTATCATATACCTTACTAGTATCTTTACTATCTACATATATGAATATACATGCTGTGTATATACTAATATCTATAATACTACATATACATATTCCATATACATATACATCATACCTCATATACACTATGACTCATACACATCTCATTAATACATATATACATATTATCATATATATATACTATTTTATATATCATCTTATTACTAATTATCTATACTACTACTATATATCTATATATCTCATTACTAC